GCCAACAGTTGCCAGTAAAATTCCATTGGTGCTTGATGATGGGGGTAATATCCTGCAAGATATTAGGCGGGAAATTGTTGTGCAATTAAAGGATAATCTTCCAGATGCTTATGCTGCATGGGGATTCATTCTTGAACAGCATCGAGATTATTATTGGAATGAGCTTTGTGTATGGCCCATCCTCTATTTATTTAATTTTAAAATATATTTGTAATTATTTCTAACACATTTTCATGCTTTTTTTATTTCCCCAGCAAAAATTTAAATAGGAGCTAGAGATTCATGATAGGGTAAAATCATTGTGGTGTCAAACATGAAGTATCAAATTTAAGCATGCGTTAAATGAGCTGAAAACAGAGTGTGCAGCAAATAATTTTCAAGTGAAGCCCACAAACATGAATCCTGAGCTCTTTTAGAAGCTTGTTCATATATGGACCAAGGTAATGAAGTATTGTGTTAAGATTTTTAACTATTGGCAATAGCAATGCTTAATTATTTTAATATTATATGAAAATATTTTCATCAAATTTTCAAGATGAAAAACATACTAGATGGTCCAATGTTGCAAAGGCAAATCGGGCCAAAGGCTCAAAGGTCACACACACTAGTGTGTCTATTGATGTTACTAAATATAGGAACAAAATGGTATAGAAGTTAACCATGTTTTTGAAAGTTTATTAGCAGTATTTTTATATTAATATATATTTGTCTTAAAATTTGTAAATTTTTCCATTACAGCAAAGTGTAGCTCCAATGGGTCGTCCACCCTCACTTCCAAAGGTGTATACAAGTAGAAGGTAGCATTGACCAAAAGCAAAAGACCAGCTGCCCACATACTGCAATGATGAGGCTAGGGAATTAGCGTAAGTATTTAATAATATGAAATATAAAACTTGATATTATTTATTAACGGATTGAAGTTAATTTTGAATAGTATTATTATTCATTTTACCTAACAAACTGGCAATTATTGCTCTTGTTTCTTCCCTTGAATTTGGCACTTTTGCTACTCAAAACTTTTGAATTTTGCATCTAGAAATGAATTTCCATTTTTGACTTCAAAAAATATTGTTAGATTCCAAGATTTTCATAGAAGAGGATATGATTTAATTGGGGAATCAAGGGCTAGGAATAGGAATATTTAAGGTTTTGGTAATAGTGGTGAATTTTGTCCATAATTCAAACCACAATGGTTTCAAATCCAACAAGGAGTCGGAATTTAAGCAATCCTTCTTTCTTAATGTCTACAAGAATCTCATCATTCTTTACTTTGATATGCTATTTGTTTTAGAATAAAGAAAACATAGTTTTGAATAT